AGATATATATATATATATATATATATATATATATATATATATATATATATATATATATATATATATATATATATATATATATCACTCTAAAACCCTTTGCTCCATATGAACCAAGAGGAGAACTTTCCTTTCGAAAAAGTTTTACTTAATTTGTGGTCAGTTTATCACTTTGTTCTTGTTGATCTTTATGTCTTCTTATCACTTTTACTTTCACTTTGTGGTTTATCAGTTTTAAATTTTGTTTTGTTTTATTTTTATTTAGAGGAGGTCTACACTTTGATACGTAGGCAACACTCAGAGATCCAAGTCCATTTTTGTCAATTTCTTTAAAAATTATGATAATATTTTTTTTTTTTATCAAATTACAGTTATAAAATGGTAGCACAGCCTAAAAGAAATTTAATATTGAGGTTTTGATATGTCAAAATTAGCAGAAACAGAAGTCCCCCTCTTTCCATGTTACCACGATAGACCCCTGTTGGTGATATTTGTGCGTATGTGTGGGAGTGAGTGTGTTTATTAATAGTGGTGTAGTAGTAGTAGTAGTACAAGTACAAGCAAATTAGAATTACTGCTGAATACAGAAGCAACAGCAACATTTTTCCTCGGTTAAAAAAAAAAGCAAAAGTATTAGCTCAAATATAGTTGATAAAGCATTCTCAAAATTTGCTAAATGGCCTCTTCTACCTAGAATTTTTAAGAAAAAGATTTGGTTTTGAGGTGGATCAATGTTCCTTTTGTAACAATATTAGTGAAACTCTTGAACATGTTTTACCTGTGTCCTCCTAAACATCGCTTCTGGAAAGAGATGAAAGATTGGATTTCTTTAAAAGATAATTATATTCCCCCATTTGCCCTAAATTATGTCATTTTTTATATGGACCATCTTATCCAGCCTGTTTCTAAAACTATTAATATCCTTCCGCTGTTGGGTAAATATCATATTTACTGTGCTAAATGAAGAAATGCTAAACCTTCCTTAGATTTTTGTTTATTAATGACTTTAAAAAAAAAAATTCTTCTCTTAAAAAGATTTTTTTTAAAAGACAAATATGCCAAAAAAAATTAATCTTGAATTCTCCCAACATCCACTATTCTAATTGCATCAATTTTTTCGTTTTTCATATTTCTATGGCTCTTTCTGTTTGATTTAAATGTAAATTCCCTGCTATTTGGTTTACTTTGTTTGTTTGTTTTTTATCGTAATTAATCTTCATCTGTTCATGTACACTTTTGTCATCCTCTCCGAGAGTATTTTTTTATGCAAATGTCAACGGCTTAATAAAAAAGGCGAAAGCACGAGCATTTTTACCCTAGCGAGATCCCGTAGATTCAGGAATCCAGGAAGTGCTGCTTCTGACAGTTAAACACAGAATATGTAAGCTACTTTCTATCGATTAATATGTGTTTAATACATTTATTTTTACTGCTGTAGTTTTCATGGTTTTAGAGGTACACATGGTCGCTTTCAGACGTTAAATATTTGCACATGAATAAACGTGAAGTTAGTGGATAAGGCTAACGTTGTTAGCAAAATTCTGAGCTTCAGTAAGTGCCACATCGCCACAAACTGACAGCGGGGCAACAGTTTGCTTGTCATGCTGACCAAAACTAAATATTTGGTTACATACTGCTAGTAGTTATTTATATATCTATTTCCTTACGTTCATCTTTTTTTTTTTTTTTTTTTTTTTTTTTTTTTTTTTTTTTTTTTTTTTTTTTTTTTTTTTTTTTTTTTTTTTTTTTTTTTTTTGTCGCTGGTTTTGAGTCAACATTATCAGCTGTCAGGGAGATTCAGATCCGAAATAAAAAGTTGTATGGTTGAATAAACTGATCATTAAACAGATAATTTACACTTTTATTCTGGGTTTGGAGGAAATGGAAATGCTTGAGACATGTTAATGGACAGCATTAGTTCTGATTGTATTGTTTTAATGTTGTTGTTTTTGTTTTTTTTTACTGCTAACATTGTAGTTTTGTTTACAGGCAAAAAAAAAAAAAAAACCTCCATATAATAATTATATCCATGTAAAAATACAAAGATATAAATCAAACATTCAAAGCAATGATTTACACTTAGAAACTCAACATTTAGACGTTGATAGTTGGTGTGTAGAAAACAGTTAAAAGCTCTGAAAAAAATAGTCATTTATTTATTTGTTTTTAATTGTTTGTTTTTTAAACATTCTTTTAATTAGATTGAGCCTTACATTTAAATTAAATTGTAAAGCAATTTCTAGCATTCAAAACAGCCACAAGAAACTGTTATAGAAAGCTCTGAGTTTACACCTTGAAGCTTTCTCTCTCTCCGGTTCTTTTCCTGAGATCACTTGGGACAAACCCTTTAAATAATACCTCGTGGTTTATATTTATTAAATAACCAGGAGACATGACAACAGATTTTGATAGAAATTGTAATCTTGCTCAGATCAGATGGAGGGGGAGTGGCGGTCTAGTGGTTAGGGCATAGAGCTTCGAATCCTGAGGTTCTGAGTTCGAGCCTCTGATCAAGACCCTTAACCCCCGATTGCTCCCCGGGGCGCCCCACGATGGCAGCCCACTGGTCCCCAAGGGACGGGTTAAATGCAGAGGTAAATTTCTCCAATGTTGGATCCAGAAAGTTCAATTATATAATATTATATCAGAGAAGCTGCTTAGATTACAGAAGGTAGCGCTTACAAACTGCAGTGGCCCCTCATCACAGTTAAGTTCAGCTCTTAGATCGAGGTCACTGCTCTAATTCCACTCCCAAATATTTAGATTAGATTAGGTTAGATTAGATTCAACTTTATTGTCATTACACAGGTACAGGTAAAAGGCAACGAAATGCAGTTTAGGTCTAACCAATAGTGCAGTAGCAGCATAAATAATGGTTCCATAAATACAGGACATGGGTTTTCTACTGTTTCTATTTGCCACGTCCTGTAAGAGGAACCATCCCAATTAGATAAACTAATTGAAGAAACATTAGTGAAGCCAGATATTATGAAGGTATAACTGATTCACACATCATCAGTTAAGATTTTCCTAACAAAACTAAAACAAACTCAATGTGCATTCTTGTTTCAAATTCAGAAATTAAGCAAAAAATACTTGAGAAATATATGAGAAGTGTCTGTTCACATAAAAGTTTTTTATGGGTAATTGAACATATAGAAAGTATTTGGTTCCTCTTCATGTCATAATAATTAAATACATTTGATGTTTTTTGTAATTATTTAATTTTCTTTATTTACAGGGGCTGATTTTGTGGAGTGCCTGCATGAGGCACCGTCCTCAAGTAAAAGTCTTTTGGGAACGAAAGCCTAAAACTGAACATTGGTGTTTTCCGGCTCTGTTTGGATAAATTGATTTCAAGCTCACCATGGATCGGGATGAGGAGGAAGAGGAGCTGACAGTCAAGGCAGCACCAAAGGAGGTGGATGTGTTTACGTCTGTGTGCTGCTTGGGTTACTTGTCCAGCATCAACCTCCTCGTTGCGGTATGTGTCGGCATGTACGTGCGCTGGGAGGTGACGAGCGAACCCATGATCCTGGTCATCTTCATCCTCGGCCTCTTCGTCTTGGGAATCGCCAGCATTCTCCATTACTACTTTGCCATGGAGAAGGCCAGCCTCAGCTTGTTCCACCTGTGGTTTGGTTTTCTGCTTGGACTCCTGTGCTTCCTCAACACCCCTGCCTTGGATTCCAATATTACAGAACTTGTCGCCAACTATCTCCTGGTAGCCAGCGTGGTGATGAAGGCCGTCTGGGCTATAACTGAACGCATATGCCACTCAGTCAGTTACAAACCTATGTTGTTGACGTCAGCTGAGTGGCTGGAGCTGCTGGGATTTGCAATCGCCAGCACCACCATGCCTCTTAACAAGTCGGCGGCCATTGTCGGCTTGGCGGTGGCCTTGGGAGCTCTCATTGTGGATTTGAGGATGAAATCACTTCTAGCTTTCCCCAACCTGATTTGCTTTGCGTTGGTTACTTCCCTTGTGTTCTTTAAGGCCTTAAGCATCCAAGCTAACCCGTTTGCCTTAGGCTGCTTCCTAGGCAGGCAGCTCTGTGAGCCGGTGTTGGATGTGTACTTCAGCGGGCTCGGGCCCACTGAGCGCTGGATGCCTGTGCTCTCATTAGGGAAGTTTTGGAGGAGGCTGTCCCTTTTTCCTCTATCCCTCATGGAGCTGCTCTTCTTTGTCTTTGCTGCCTTAAAGGTAAATGCATCAAATTTAAAAAAGAAAATTATTTCAAAGCATGAAGAACAGACTTAATGCAGCTTTTTTTATTTATCTCCTTTGAACGTTTTCCATGCATTGCCATGTTTCAGCTCACAAGCTGCAGTGCAATTGCTTTTTTCTGTGATTAACAAAGTTTGTTCCTTACATATAAACTGACAGGAATCTGGTACACATTTTTATTTGTATTTGTTTGTTTTTTTCATTCTAACAATTCTTTGATTAAATAAAATAAAAGAATATGGTTTACTTTAGAATTTACCCCACTTCCTTATACCTCTAAAGTTCTTTTTAGTGTGCAAAGCTGGTAAACATGCAGCTGAAAGCTTTCTTCTGTAGCTGTAAAGTGGTTAAACAGGGTATTCACACAGGAAGATTGAATGGATACGTACATCACACATTGACATTTTTATTTGTAAAAACAACAATAACAAAAAAACAAAAAAATATCATTAACCTCCCTTTTCAGAGTTAATACTTACATTGTTGGACTATCGCAAGCATATATAATAAAACACACTGAAGCTTGTGGTTTTAAAGCAACAAAATCCATTTTTTTTTATATTTCCCTGTATATTATATGTATTTATTTAATGACTTTGTATATTGTTTTTGTCTTGGACAGCTTGGCCACTTGGAGCTTTGGTATCTGGTGATCCCTGGCTTCTGCCTCTTCGGCCTTTTCTGGGCCATCTGCCACATAATTTTGCTGATCACAATTTGGGGCTTCCACACTAAGCTGACCGACTGCCAGAATGCCTGGCGGGCCCATCCGTCAAGTAGACGTAGTCTGGATCAGGTCATGGCCTCCAGGGGCATTCGACACTTCTGCCTTATTTCAGAACGCCTCGTCTTCTTTAGTCTGCTGTCAACCGTCATACTGGGAGCTGTGTCCTGGCAGGTAGGATACTGGTTGTAAAAATCAAGTTTCTTTTTTTACTATTCACATAAAAACTGGTCAAATTGTGATTTGTTTTTAAATCATCTGAAGAGCAGAAGTGTGTGCACATAATTTTATCTTGCTCCCTAAACTGAGCTGCTTATGTGAGCAAATTTAATTAGCTCTTAAATATCCTCATCTACTTGCATAAAGAGCAGCAATAACGTATTTAGCCTTATTAAGCATTTACCTTGGAAGAGTCCCGTGGGCACAAGTCCTAATTTAAGACATGCATATTTTTTTATTCATTTTATTACAGCTGTGCTTTTTGGAGTTTTCCACTGATATGATTTCAGCGACTTTAAAAATGCAGAAAATGTGTTAAAAAGTCGACCAGTTAAAACTGGTTGACTGTTTTAGTCATAGATTGCATATATGGCTTAACATTCATCTGGAAAAGATTTGTTACAGTTTCAGCTACAAACGGGTTGAGCAGGTTTTCCTTTTTTTTTGCTAAGCTATTTTAGTCAAAAGTATTTGAAAGAGTTGACTTTTTAAAAGGTAGAATAAGATGTTTTTTTGTTGTTGTTTGGCTCAAAACTACTCTTGACTTCTGCTTCAAAAGTTTCTACAAAAAAGGAGCATTTCTTAGCCTATTAGAATCAAAAGCAGATTAGTGTGCTCTTAGAAAAAAAAATAGTTCAGATGTTATCAGTTTTTAATGCAGGCATCCGGGGTTACATTCCTGACCTTTAGATCTTTGTTGTATGTCTTCCAAAGGCCATTAATGCCACAAAACCTTGAGAATAAATAAAAAGTGAGTAAAAGAATTTTAAGATGTTTGCAAACGCTGAACACATTTAGTAGTATTAAAAAAAAAATGTTTTCCTATTTTTTGGTAACACTATTTAAATGATTTCTTAGAATTATTTCCTATTATAAGAGTTTTTTTATCAGAATCTTCTGTTGGTAAAACATTTAAAATCTTAGAGGGTTTATCCTTCTATTTTTCTCAGGATCCACCATCTTACCTCATTTAAATATAACTCATGTTCATATCTAACCTAAAATGTAGGTCAAAACCTGTAAGCCTTAATATTTAGCATCTCCAAGACAGCTTAAGTGCTAAGACGTATTAACCGTTATAAAACTACAGTCATGTTTATCTGTTTATCTTCACTGTAACACAGCGCTGTCTCCATTAAGTCGGCCTGTCATGTTTTTACCCTTCCATAATAACACTGTCAGTCCCAGCCTGTGCTTCTGCCTCATTATGTGTCAGCACCAGTTAAGTGAGTCTGATTATCTTGATGCGAGCTGCTTGTGGTAAACAAAAGTGACGGCATGTTTGGTTTTTTGCAGCCCTACAACGGTCTCTTCCTCAGCGCTCTGCTGGTGGTGCTGCCTTTGGAGTCTCTCACACACAGCCTGTTCCACGAGCTGGGCAGCTGCCTGGGAGGAACCTGTGCTGGCTACGCGCTGGTAATACCCACCATTTACTACAGGTAATTGATTGATCACATTTTCTTTCTTTTTTTTTTATCCTTTCAAATTGTTGATTGGACTCTAATGCTACGTTCTCGCCGGACGCAGCAGAAGCAGCAAGTTTACATGCAAAGTCAATGGTTGACGCGCGTATAGGCGCAGCAAAAGGTCCCGCAGCGCGTTTGAGCAGCTGAAGCAGCGCATCGGGAGCGTTTAAGCATCTGACGCGCCGCAAACGCGCAGCGACTCGCCGCATCAACCAATCAGAGGAGCTGATCTGGGAGCTGGCCGTGAGACAGACACATCGCTGATGACACAGAGCGCTGTGATCACTCCTCTGAAACAGTTAATTGACGCCTAAATTAACTTAAAATGCTGAAACCTGCCGACAGAATATGTTTGCTTTTATTATCCTTGGTTCACCAGCCGCCGCGGTGAACCAAGAGGAGGCGACCCGGCCATAGGCTGCTGATGAATGGGGTCCTACTGACAGTGCACCACTGGTATGTGGGGGTCTGAGTGGCTCCGACAAAAATTATATTGGAAGGCAGGATGGTAATCTGGATGAATTGACTGCAATGATTAAGTTTTCAGGTGGACTTTCTCACCTAAAAACATATTAAAACTACTTTATTCCCACTGATCACAGCAAATATAGCTGCAAGGCAAAGAAAGGATAGGGTAGCTCCATCCAACGCGCGTCAGACACACTTTTGCACCGCGCAGCCAGAGCAGCAAAGCTGCTTCAGCCGTGCGTCAAAACTGACTTGTACAAGCAGCAAAAATGAAGCAGCAGACGCGATTTTGCTGCCCCTGCTGCATCCGGTGTGAACGCAGCATAACAGATGAACTATTTGACTTCCACCATTAACAAAATCCAGCATCCTTCTAAACGACTGGCAAACTGAAGATGCAAAAACCCTTACTTGAAGGATTGACTCCATTTATGTAGCGGATTGTGGTCTTCTTTATATTATCTTCTTGTCAGCTGTTTCTTATTGTATGTTCTCTCTTTGTACTAAACTAGGGGCCATTAGCTAGCAATGTTTCATAGGGTATACACCCCTTGGTGTATCACATCTTTAGGCTTTGTGCAGAGTAAGAGTGTCCAGGATTATCCTCCACTGGAAAATGTTGAAATTTAGATTCAGAAACACTATTTACTGCATTTTGAGGCGAAATGCAGCTCAATTTTGTCTTTGTTACAACACTACTTTTGTCCTGATTGTGGGAATTATGTGTGCTTGACTAGAGGTGGAGATGAGATAATATTCAGGTTAAATATAATAATAATCAGAAATTGTAATGCTACGTTCACACTGCGGTTTGAGCAGCAAAAAGCGCCTGCTGCTTTATTTTTGATACTTGTACACATTAAGGTCAGACGTGCCTCAAGAGGATCTTTGATGCTCCTGAAGCGTGTGTCCAGATGTGTCTTAATACTTATGCTGCTCTTGTGTTCAATGATAGAGAGCAGCTTTGCTATATTTGCTGTGATCAGTAGTTAAGAAGCAGTTTTAAAATATTTTTTGTGAGAAAGTCCACCTAAAACATCTTCTGTGCGGTCAGTTCATCAAGATTATGATCTTGTCTTAAAGTATTATTTCGCTGTGAGGTGTGCTGTCTTTGGGAATCCAGCAGCAGCCGCCTCACGCTGGGAGTTTGTTGGGAATTTTCCCCTACTGTTCGTGGCGGCTGGAAGTAGATGTTGGCGTCATGTACGTGGCTCAAACTGCAGACACCAGAATAATAAAAGTGAATATATTTTCCCGGCAGGTTTTGACATTTGAAGTTAATTTAGGCATTAATAAACAGTTTCAGTGGAGTGATCATAGTGCTCTACATCAGCAACAATGTCTGTTTCTCTGCCAGTTCGCAGATCAGCTTCTCCGATTGGTTGATGTGGCACGGTTAGCAGCAAAATTAACATTTTTTCAACTCCAGCATCTGCTGCTTGTGAAATTTTGTTGTTTCCAGGAGGAAAAACGGGCATACAATTTTTCTATTTTTTTAAAGGCCGATCATTGTACGGCTGTAGGCATTGCTAGCTAAAAGCCTGCTCTTTTCCCTCTACAATGGCTCCTAATAGTGACTAAAAATCTTAAAGAGCCAACGAAAGGTTTTGAATATAGTATAAATGACTATATACTATCAAAAATATGGTTATAGATGTATTTTGCTCATCATTCGCTTGGAAAGTCAGGAATAGAAAAGAATCTGATATCAGTGATTCCTCATTGTGAAACTGTCCTGTTTTGTTCTTATTTTAAAAACTATTAATGCAAATAAACTGTTTAAAATGCCAACTAATTTTCTACTACAGGTAGAAGAATAAGGTAGATTTTATTTAAAGGCCATGTAATATTTGCAACTCTACATGATTTTAATTTAGCTTGGCTTGGGGTAAATTTGATTTAAAAGGATGTAGACCCCTGTACTAAATAGATGGGGACATTATTTCTACTTTTAAAGGCCAATTTATGCTTCTGACGCAAAGCCTCTGCAACCATCAAATCTGTCTCTGTGCGGGACCTCGCCCCCTGCGCAGAGGTTCTGCAACCGTCGTCGTGCACATCAAAAATATCCTGACTACACGTCGGACAGTCACAAACCCGCAGAGACCTCAAGCGGAAGTGAGCAGACAAAAAGCACCTGTGATTGGTCCTTGGTATGTCTCTCTGGCTGTGTGTGTGGTCATCCTTCTTGATTTGATGCCGGAGCAAGCCATTTTTAAAAACCGAGGAACAAATACAATGAACAACTACAACGAAAGGTTAATCGAGGAGGTTCGCTCCATAAACAGAGCCTATTTCTCTCCGATGTCTAGCAACTCTAGATCCACCTCCGTGACCGTGATATCTTGCAGACGCGCCATTGTTGTTTTGGAAGATAAACACTCCCGCCGGCGCCGCCGAAGTTCTCGTGACCATCCGTTAAAGATCTTGCGAGTTCTCGAATAGGCTCCCCCTTCCGCTTTGCCGGGAAACTGCTGTGCGTCCCTAGAAATTCCAGACCGATGCTGCAGAAGCATACCAGCAGAACTGGTTCACGACTAGAACCAAGCGACATTTGATGTGTGCGTTTGCAGAAGTCTAATCTGCCCTTAAGTATGAAGGAGGATCTGTGATGCTGTGGGCCTGTTTGTCTTCCTAATCCCCATTGGCTCCGTGTTTTAGTGCTTGAGTAAGAGCCTTTCCTTTTTTTGAATGAAAATATTTAAAATAAATGTTGGATTTTTCTAAAATGTTCAGTGTGGGATTATACTATGACAAAGATAAAAAAAAATAAAATAAAATCCTTTTTGCATTTTGAATTTTTTGTCAATCTGGTGTTACTATACAAGTTACATTAACCTGCTGCAGCACACTTTGATTCAAAAAGCTGCTAATATATAAATTATATTAGCTAGTTATATAAATTGTATAATTAATATTGCACAGGTAGTCAGAAGAGGCTAAGCATCAAATACATAGTTGTTTTTTAGAGAACGCTTCGGCTTTCTAAACATTTAGACTCAACTCAAGGTTGTTTCTGGGAGTCTGTAGGGAACACTTAGGGCACGATGAGAATCCAGCAATAAATAATCAGCTGTGATGGCTGAAGATTATGCTTTCATAACGACAACACCCTCTCAGGAAGATCAGAGGGGTAAGGGAAGGGGACACAAGTTCAGTGAAACAAAAATAAAAGAGAGATGTGAGGTTTTAAGCACTGAGGGGAAGGTACTAGAGGCAAGGGACAGACAACAGAAAGGAGGAACTGTTTTGAGAAAAAAGAGCGGATGAAGCTGTGAGGGGGCTTTGGAGGAAAGGGTGGGATTATTAATTTCTTCTTTTTTAAGATGAAAGAGATGTCAGGGGAAGATGCTGTCTGAATCTTGAAGTTACTCCCTTCAGCCCCTCAAAGGCACGTTCTGAAATGATTAAAAAAGGGGTTTCAGGGGTTGGTTGGATCTATAAATCATGCAGCATGTCACTCTCAGATCTGTTGTTTAAACATTTTAACAAGCGCCTGCATGCCAAGTATCTCCACACCACAATGATGCTAGTAATATCTGTCACCAGGGCGATTTCGTTTTGCAGAGACAAACCAATGTTCAATTTTGTTGGATTCTAAAATGAACAAGATTCTCCATGTAGTCCTTAAAGGACATTAAAACATAAATGAAGCAGATTTTGTGGTTGTAAACTTACAAAATGTGAAGTTTTATGCAATATCAAACTTTGCAAAAATAATTTGGTTTGCCGTAGATTTAAAGACTTTTCACTTAATTTAGATAAACGTTTTCATTTTCTTGCCAGGGTAGGTTGGGAGATCGCTGGTTTATTATTTTGGCTCTTGTATGGAGAGATCTGTAAGTGTGATGTATGACTTAGCCCTCCGCCTGGCCATGAATAACATCAGGGCCCTTAGATAGGAAAGAAAATATATGGCTGACCTGGATGCCTGATAGCCTTGACTTGTTGAATGTGTCCTTTGTCATGTTCTTGTTGCTTTCCAGGAGAGCTTTGTGTCACATACGCCCAAAACCTCTTTTAGCTTTCTTCCGCCTGTCTTTTTGGTCGTTTTTACCAAATCGCTTCTTTTAAATCCAAATCTCTCCCTTTACCCCCAGTGCCGGCAGCCAGCCCACTCTCCTACCACCTGAGCTTGTGCAGGAGTTGAATCAACGCTCCACGGCCATGCTGAATGACATGCAGCGCCTCTTCTCGCGCCACATGATCCAGACGTTCGGCTGCGACTACTCCACCAGCGGCGTTACCTTGGAGACCGTGCAGAACAAGCTCCGCAGCTTTATGGAGCTCCAAACGGCGGACGGCCCACGCCATGACACATATTTGATTTTCTACAGCGGACACTCTCAGAAAGGCACCGGGGCCTGGACTCTGGCAGGTTGGTGCCTCATGGGGGTTTGTTCTGTCCATGTAGCTCATGCTTTTTAATGCTACTAGCAAACAGATCCAACTGCAGAGCAAAAAATCATTACACCACCACCACCATGTTTAAGTCTGGGTATAATTTATTTATTTTTTTACTTTTGAAAGGCTTGTTTTTTTTGTTTTATACAAAATGCAACAAAACACACGTCCCCAACAACTTCCACTTACATCTTGTCTTAACCTTTTTTTCACTTTATTAAATGTAATCATCATTTGAAAATCATATCTTATATTCTTTCTTTGAAAGTGAAGTTTGATTAATGATCTGAACCATTTTAGTGTGAGGAAAAAAAGGAAGACATCTGTAGCTGGGCAGAAACTTGTTTGCAGCACTGTATGCATGATCTTGTCTTGTTTTGTATTCACATGCCTTTTGTCTTATCATCCCATCTTAAGGAGGAGAAAGTCTGCATCTGAACCAGCTGCTGGAGATCTGGAAGGAGAAGAATGCCGGCCACGGCTCCCGTCTTATCGTCGTCTTGGACACTGAGAACTCCCTCCCGTGGGTCAAAGAAGTGCGCAGAGTGGACGGCATCTACATGGCGGTGCAAGGGGCCGAGCTTCCGCTCTCCAGGCTCGACCCAGAAAGCGGAAACATCCCCCTCCTCGGTGACTTCACTTCTGAATGGGTGGAGTTCAACTGCAACCCAGCCAGTGACACCCAGTGGACTGAGAAGGGCAGGGCGGTGACGGCGGCGTACGGCGTGTCGAAACGCTGGAGCGACTACACGCTTCACCTTCCCACCGGGAGCGACGTAGCCAAGCACTGGAAGACCCATTTCCCTAAAGCCACCTACCCACTGATCCACCTCTCCAACTGGTGCTGCGGCTTAAACCTGTTCTGGTTGTGCAGCGTGTTTCTGCGCTGCTTCAGGAGGTGTAAACTGGCCTGGTTCCCTCCAGCTGTTCTGGACACCGGACAGGGCATTAAACTGGTACATTCATAGGTAACAAATGGATAACAATAGGAAAAATGTTTTTTCATTCCTTGTCAGAAAAAAGCAGGGTATGAATATTGTCTTGTTTGCTGTCAAAACCTTTTTACAACTGGAGAATGCGTTTTATATTATTATTATTATTATTTGTAACCATATTTTCTCGGTCAAGGATGGCAGACCAATTGAAGGACATAGAATTAGAACATTTTTTGTAGCTGTTTTTTGTTTTTCCTCTAATTGTGCCATTTATTTACAGCAAAATGTATTTAAAGTGGTTTTGGGATCCTTATGCCTTTTTTTGCATCCAGCCTTAGTAATCAATGATTTCCAAAGTGCTTCTCTCACACCAAGTTTTTATGTGTCGTTCTGTACCTTATTTTGGTGGTTTTCCTGACAAGATTTGTACAAATACATGCTTAGAATTAGTAACTCATCCAGCAAAGCAGTTAATCATCATTGGAAAACAAACTTTTTTCGGTTTGTTTTGTTGCACAGAACATCAGAACCCACTTTGACCATTCCTTCAAGCTTTGCTGCCTTAAAAGGAGAGTAATTCCTCAGTTTTTCCGAAGATGTTGGGAAGCTTTTTTGTATGCTTGTCTGTTTGCTGATGGAAAAAATGGTTAAAGAATAAACTCTTTTAAAACAATTACTTTTCATAAACATTATTTATTTATTTTTTTTTTACTGCAAAATCTCTGCTGCAGAGAAGAGAATCCCACCAGCATAATGCTGCCTTCACTGTGCATCATTGAGAGGGTGATGTGTTCCAAGTCATGCGGAGAGACTAAAGTTTATATCTGGGCTTTTTCAAATCACACCTCATATGTTAAAGAAAAACATCCCCATAGTATGATGTTGCCACCTCTGAATAATAAATTCTGAGCAGCTGCTTGCCAGGGGAAAATTGGAGAGACATTTAAAAGATAAAGACTCCATTTGATACCAAGGAGGGCATTGGAGAAGGTTATATAAAATCACAATAATTATAATTAAAACAAAAATTATTAGCAAAGAGTGACACCAAGCTACTGTAAGTGCTCTGAAAAATACATTTAAACTAATTGTTGTGCGTCTTAGCTAAAGATGCAGCTAAAGTTTAAAACAGGATATTCTAGTTTGTGTTTGTCAATCAAACACAGTGCTAGTTAAAAAAAATGTTTTTCTTTTTTTTTAGAACTTTTTATTTAACCATTTTAATACTTTACATAAAATTTCCTGACATAAACTTAAGTAGAAGATGTAAAGACAAAAACAAAATACGAAAAGTGACATTTACTCTCAATATTCTCTCACTTTCCTTTTTAATATTGTCCAAAAGTCATCGTATTATTGGACAATTCCAAAAAATGTGTGTGTTGTATCCAGTATTTTTACAATTTCGCCAACATAATGCAAAACTGGGATTTTTCATGAATGAGGATAAAATAAAGGGAGCATTAAAGTATCTTATCTTCACTTTACAGTCAAATTCTTTCCACCATTGGCTGCTAATTCCCCTATGACAGCCGGTACACATGTCCACCCACGGCGATTCTTCAATTATAACATTTAATTCTAATTCCCATTTTTCCTTGATATTGTTCATGTTTTGTAAAGTGTCAATTACCACCTTTTTTATATATTAGATATGTTTTGTTTTTTTTTGTCGGGAAAGGCTTCTCTAGCGCCAATAAAGTACTCTTCTATTTTATTGGGATTTTTTTCTGATCAAATTTCTTTCTTTATGACTTGTGATATGTCTTATCTGAAGGTATTTATATAAACCATTTTAAGGGAAGCCAAATTGTTCTTAGAGTTGAGAGAATGATTTAAATTATTTTCCTAAAAAGAGTTGGTTAATTGTACAGAGACCCTTGTCAGCCCATCGTTTAAAACCCTATCCCACACCGCAGGAGGTAATTCTGTTTCCTACTAGAAGATTGGTCTTTTTTTATGCTAAAATGTGAACAATTTAATTTGACAGGAATATGTTTGGAGAACACTAAAAATAAGTTCCTAATTTATTTAGATATGGTTTTATCTTATTTTCCTCTAAGATAAAACTGCACAAAATGCATTTTTCCTCATATTTTAGCACACTTTAATCCAGTGAGTCTGCATTTATTTGACTCCTTAACTGTTTCTGCTTATAGCTTATAGGATGTCACTTTGCTTCATAAGTTCAAAAACTCAATTTTAAGTGCGAATATTATTTAATTTTTGCAGGGCTGTTGTGACTTTGCATCCCAAACCATAAATGTCAAAACCATTACCTCCAATTACAAGTATGTTTATAGGCTTTTACGCCATTCAGGATTTCCCGCCACGTGCTGTGCAGACAGCCTATATTTTCAATGCAGTAGGAGGGGATGTGTATTCATGTATACAACATAATTTATCTAATGTTAAAGGATGAACGGATAATGAGATGAATATTTATATATTCTTATGGATCAGTTTTAAAATTCCCCACCAACCTCAAAGAATATCAATTTAATCAACAAATATACAGCTGATAAATAAAATATATTTATTATTTTAGCATTTACATTGAAGTACTGAAATGAGAAATTGAGTTTATATGGAAATGTGTGCATCATTATAGCTGTGTTTATTATTTCATTCTTCCTCAGCTACAGTCTGGATGAAACAATTGAAATTGGCTCATATTTTGAGGAACTTTGTTGGCTCCTCTTCTGAGGTTTGCAGGATTTTTTGGAGCTCTCAACTTTGCTTTGGTTAGAGTAAAAGCAAAGTTTTGCCTTTATTAGAGTTGACCAATGGTGGATGTCTATGTTTGGAGGGGGTGGGTGGTGGCAGAATCTGTTTGGTTGCAGTCAGTAAAGGGGTTTGGATGCCATAAGCCAAAGATGTGGTTAGAAACTGTTTAGTAATTGGACCTTCTCTCCCTTGTGGTCTGTATCTTGTCTTATCTAGTGCTGGAATCTGTCCCACACTTCTGTAATTTTCCTTTGAAGACTTGGCTGGACCGCTTCCAGGATTGGTCAAGGTGCCTTTTCTCCCCTGTCCTTTTATTATCTCCCTCCACTCTTTAACCACTGACATCTTCTACCTCTGTGTCTTTGTAAAAAATGCAAAAGCATTTTCGCCACATTTATAATTCTTTATTTTAAATGTGCTGTACTCTGCACGGAGGTTATTAAAGTTAAATTAAATCAACATTTTATCTGTTTTTCCCCTATTGTAGATCAGATCTGACCTGATTCAGTAAAATAGCCACACCCACCATACTCTGCATTAGCTGTCAGGACAGAAATATGATTTGCTGGATATGTGACATTAAGACATCTAGCTACAAACTAATCTATTTTTTAGTTTTTATTAAAAATGAATCCTTTAAAAATCAAGCATTCAACACATCACCTGAAGTTAGTCTGTGCAATAAATATGAGCTACTGCAGGATTGGGGTCAGATGAAGCAGACTTTTAAGCCTCAGGTATTAGATGCTCCTCTTTGTAAACTTAAGGTCAATATTGTAAAGTTAAAAAGATGTCTTAACTGTCTTGCCAAGGATGGTACATAAATCTCTGTACGTTCAGCTGCAAACTGTTGAGAGAGATAGAAATCTATATTATCAAAATGCAAATGAACTAAATGGAAGTTTCTTTTATTAACAAAGAGATAAAAATGATTGTTGGAGTTCATCTTAAATCCAGCTGAGCTCCACGTTCTTGCAGACAGCCAAATATACTTAGTATGACCCAGATGATGCCGATATGCCAGATCTAATTAAAAGCGTAAATCGGAGCCTAACAGGACTGTCAGCCGTCTGTGTGGGATCGGAGGTTCGGTAATTAGCCGCACTGTCACAGTTGGGTTGAGGCGGGATGAGGCGAGGATGAGCAGGCCTAGTGAAACAGATGAGTTTTCCATTCTCATCACACATCTGGAAGCCCAGATGTCTTCCTAAGCCAGCCAGGCTTTTAACCCTGTGGTTCCGCTAACAACAAATACTTGCGTTGATGTCATCTATGAGAGTTAGATTGGAGTTTTGATGCTCCTTCGTAACGTGTTTATCAACAACTGTGACTAAAACACAGCTGTTCAACAAATCATAGGTTGCATAGAGTATTTCAAATGAAGCCAATTGGATTTTATTTGACACAGGCTAACAAAAACTGCAGAAATAAACATTTTTCTGCATGAAATTATAATAACCTTCGACAGATGTGTATTACTGAAGATTACCTGAGACAGCATCTCTTTTAACCTATGCATGTAATTTAGAGAAGTTAATGATGAATTAAATTATCAACACATGTAATGGTCTCATTAAACATCGATCAGAGTGCATTCTTTTTTGACTATTTAAAAGTTACTACACTGTAAAAACAATCTAGAAATATATTAAATCAAGTATATTTACTTTTAATTTGAATAGGTAAATAAGATAATTTGCAAATTGAATGATTATTTTCTTAAAGAAAAGATAATTAGATAATATGCTCTTGAAATAAGACATTGCAATTGTTTTTCTTATTTTAGTTTTAAATTGTCTTGTTTCATTGGCAAAGTGTCTCGCTTACCTCCTCAATTCAAGACAAATTTCTAAGAAAAAAATTGCTTATTTAGATTTTTTGCGGTGTACTCAAAATCATCTTTCCCATCCTAAAATGGTTATATCCACTCTTGCTCCAAAAGCCGTGAATCTGATGCAAAATAAATCATGTGCCTTCCTTCACTCTGCTGAACAGTTGGTTCCAGGTAACGCAGCTTGAATTTTAGGTAAGGTCATGTTTTATCCAGTGTGACATTCCAGGTTAACATCATCCTACTGATTTCTTCCCTGGAGGACATCCCACAAGTCACTCGAATTGTTCAAAAGTTCATTAGAAAACCCAAAATGGGACATTTTTCTGTAAAACAGTTGCTAGTTTTTGGTAAAAACATCTGATCGAAAAATGAGTAACTATCTTTAATGCTTCTTTAATGCCTGCACAGGTTATAAAAATGTAGATGTGTTACTTTAAAGTAAAAAAATTTGAGATTTTCTGTGTATAAAGACAGATTTTTTAAGACTGCTGGGGGCACCCCTGTGCAAATGCTTGAATATATTCATGAAATCCTTTATTGAGCAGAATCTGAAATCAGACAGAATTAATGCAAACCCATCTCTGTGCGACACATCTCTATGGACTCCCAGCATGCCTTGAAATTGTCTCCCCAGCTAATGCAGTGCTGATGAATGACTCACCTAAGCCCACTTCTCCCATCCTCTGTTAGTCTGCCGGTAAATCCGGGCTGGAGAATCACTTGGGTTCTTTCTCCCACTGCTACATAACATACTCTACACAATGACTGGGGAAATACCTGTTTACCAATTGCAACAAGTACTCAGCTGGCTGCTGGAATTGAGTAATGTTGGACTGCTCTCTTGAACCCGGTGTGTTTGCTTTTAAACCTATTAGAAACAGCTTCCTTTGTGCAAGCACAGAACTTTGCATGAGTTGCATATTCAATTTAAAAACCTGCAGCATGGAAAAGGTTTCAAATTTGTACCACCACCTTTCCCCAAACTCAATGAAAATCCTGAAGGAGATTTTGAATAATAAGATTATCCTTTAGTGAGAAGAGCCACATAAGAATAAAAGCAACATATAATTTTGGGATTATTATGGAGTAAATTATTGTTTGTGACCTGCTGCTTCTTGTAATAATGTGCATCCACAGATGTGCATGCAATATTAAGGAGATACACACATTTTTCCATCTAGCTCTGTGTGTGTGCATGTGAGTGTGTGTAATGTCAGCAGAACCCCAGGAGGTTTAGCAAGAGCACCTTTGATAGCAGCCCTACACCCGGCTCATGCAGTTAGCCAGCTGAGTTCCAGGAAAAGAGAAACGAAACAGATAAAAAGAAAAGAAAATTGAAAAATAAGGACAGACTGTGATCTATAAATATTGGAAAGGACAGCTGTTTTTTTTAACTGTCACTAAAAGAAAAACAATATTATAAAATCAGAGAAAATACTAAGCAATCGTAGAAGAGGAAATAATAAGCCGCATTTGTCTCCTGATGCATGGATAAGTCACTAAAAAATAAGCTGCAGAAAAGCATGTAAATGATGTCCTTGTCATG